TGCACCAGTCTGTCCTCCCCCAATAGCCCCTTATGAGCCCCTGTCTGACTTCCCTAGCACCCCACGCTGTCTGTCTCCCCATGGCCCCTGTCTCCTGACCTGACCCGCTGCGAAGAAGGCAGGCTCTCTCTCTTCCCTTGCTGGCGGGGAGCTGCTGTTTTGTTCTATTGTGACAATGCCCTCTGGTGGTCAAAAGGCAGAACTCCAGCAACATTTTGGCAGAAGTTTTTTCTGCGCAAAAAGTTAAAAATATGTGGGCCTCATTAATTGTGCGCATGCGCAGTAGCGTAGAATTCCCTCAGGAATAATGATGATGTAGAATTAAATCTGGATTTATATAAGATATAATTCAGGAGAGCCCTAAATATTTTAAAACAATAATCTAAATAAAGGTAATGCAATCACTGGGAAATGAGAAGCTATTAAACAATGTGCTTGGCAATAGCTCACAGCCATGGACATTTACAATTATATTTTATTAGCAGCCAGGGATTATACCCTATATTTTCCAGGAGAGCTAACTTTCATAGCCTTGACCCATCTCCCTTCTATTTACAATTGTGCAATTTCCCTGTGCTGACTATGATTGCTTACATTAGAAAAGTATGTTTATAACTGTCTTTTAATGTAATTAGTGTTCTGTCTTTTTGAAAAAAGTTAATCACTATCAGGGAGATTTTCCAAAACACCTAAGGGATTTAGAAGCATGAAGTCCTAATGACTTTATTGACTAGTTATTTTCTCACCTGGATTTTCTTTCCCACTTGGTTGCTGTGATCCCACTGGTGGTGCCAGTCCCTCCTGTTTCCTCTCCTCCTGTCATGTTCTAGCAACCTTCAGTAAGCTCCTCATTTTCAGCTTTGCCATACGGAACAAGTTGGAAAAGAGAGGTTACTTACTTTACAGTAACGAGTTCTTCAAGATGTGTGGTCCCTCAGGGTATTTGCTGAGAGTGTGTATGCACCTAAGATTGGAAGATTCTTCATTAGCTGCATCGATAGTCTGTACCTGTGGCTCCAAGTTGAGAGCATAAGGAGCAGTGAGACCAACCGGCACTCCAGTTCTTACTCTAGGAAGGATCCTAAGCAGAGGGGGAAGAGAGGGAGTAATGGAATACCTATAGGGACCACACATCTCAAAGCACTCAAGTTATTTTAAGGTAAGTAACCTTTCTCTTTCTTTAACTAGTGGTCTCTGTGCGTATTCATTGTGAGTAACTCAACGGAGGAAGATGGGAGGAGCTATGTTTTACCTCAGATACTGCAGGACTGCTGTGCCCCAGGATGCATCTGCAGAAGAAGCCTGCACCAGGGTGTAATGTCTGGTAAAGGTGTGTACTGAACACTATGTTGCTGCTCTACAGATTTCTATGAGTGGTGTACCCTGGAGAGAAGTGACAGAGGTGGCTTGTGCTCTGGTCAAATGGGTCTCCATGCCTTGATGTGGGGGAAGAGTTTCCACTTGTTCACAACAAAGCAGAATGCAGCCTGAAATCAATCTCACTGCAAAAACTCCAGAAATTGCTTTTCCCTTTCATCTGGTCAACAACAGAAACAAATAATCTTGGGGATTTCCTTTACAGGTAGAAAGCCATGGCTATGTGGACATCTAGAGAATGGAGCATCTTGTCCTTTCTGGTGATAGGAGATTTTGCATAGAAAACAGATAGATGTATGGGTAGATTCAGATGGAATTTGGAGAGAACCTTTGGGATGATTTTGGGGTATAATTTCAGTCTACCTTATCTTTATGGCACACGGTATGACATAAGTGCCCCAAACTTACCTAACTCTTCTGGCCATGGTGATAGCCATCAGGACAGCCACTTTCATAAATAGATGGAGAAGAGAGCATGAAGCCAAAGTTTCAGATAATGAATTCATAAGTGCGGACAGACCAGATTAAGTTCCCAGTTAGGAGCTGGTTTTGATACCAGAGGAAAGGCTCTGATGAGACCCTTAAAAAAATCTCACAATCATAGGGTGGGTGAAGATTGAGCAGTTTTCTTCTGTTTATTGAGGATGGAGTGGACTTCCTCTGAGTATGACCTCGTTGTCCGTCCAAATATCAGGCTGTGAAGTGGAGGGGTGGGGTGGATGGTCTAGCCTTCATTTTGAGTGGGAAGCAGTTGTAAGCATATACAAAGATGAGAGGTCATTTGGAGGATTCTGATGACCCAAAACTGTGTCAGCTACAAAGGGGCAACTAGGATTACTGTTGCTTTGTCCTTCTTGATCTTATTCAGGACATGAGGTCAGAAGGGGATGAGTGGGAAAGTGTACATTTCTGCTGCAGTGTACTCTCTGGTGTTTCTTGGAAGCTTCAGTGGCCTCGTGGTGGTAAAAGGGCTGAGGAGAAGGATGTTGTCTGTATGAAGGTAGTTTGGAGTATTTCTTCTAAGGTGCTGGGGTGTGTGCCCCAAGGACCAGAGGATTGCCCGGGAGTCTTTGAGGGTGTGTAACAACTCATCAATTTTCTCACTGAACAGATTGTTGCACTCGATGGGGAAGTCATCCACAGTAGCTTGAACTTCCTTGGGAAACCCAGATGAGTGAAGCCACAAAGTCCATAATAACCAAAGTTGCCATGGAGTGGGAAGCCATGTCAGCTGCATCTAACGCTGCCTGGAGGAACAATTAGTTATCAGCTTATCCTTCATCAAAAATAGCCTGAAACTGAGGCCTGAGTTCCTATGGAAGCTTGTTAGCAAACTCAGACAATTTATTATAGTGAATAAAGTAATGTTTAGACATTAGTGCCTGATAATTCATTATATGAAATTGTAGGTTGGTGGAAGAGAAACTTTCTTCCAAGGAGCTCCAATTTTCTGGCGTCTTTGTTGGAAGGAGTGGATCTAGGCTGATGCAGTCTGTTGAATTCAGTGACTGCCTGGACCACTGAGGAATTTGGGGCAGGATGGGAAAACAAATACTGTGCTCTTTAGATGAAACAAAGTATCTTTTCTCCATCTTTTTCAGAGTAAAGGCATGGGGGCATGGAGTGTGCCAAATTGCCTTGGCTGGTTCCAATATGGTTAGTTGACTGGAAGTGCCTACTTGCTATGTTCTAGAGGATGTCCAGAAGCTTGTAGGTAGGATTCTGAACTTCCTCCAGGGGACTCTGGAGAGCCCGCACAATCTTCCTCAGGAGGTTCTGAAATTTTATGTGGTCATCAGGTGGCAATGGTGAGGCCAGTGCAACTGCCTCATTAGGAGATGAGGACGAGAGAGCTGCAGGTGGATTGAGTAACAATGGTTGCTTGGGCTGTTCCTCCTCCTCATAGCACTCCTGAGGGGGCTGAAGCTGTTCTCTGGAAGGTGATATCTCACTAAACTCCTACGCGGATCTCTTGAAGTCAGGAGTTCTATAGTATGGGTTCCAAGTGCCCCAATATGGCCAATATGTGGGCTCTTATGGTTACAGAGGTGCTGCCCTCTGTACCCTTATGAGGTTGGTGAGGGTACCATTGGTTCTACACCTGATAGTTTATTTTATGAGAGTGAGAGGGTGCCCAGGAGACTCTGGAACCCCTGTTGGGAGTAATCTTGCATCTCACACTGGTTTGAAGACCCACTGCGTTGGCCTCAAGCCTGCTGGAGGAGCATGAGTCTTTGGATTCTAGAGGTGGAGCTGTTGGTACCACATCTCATGATACTGTGGCTAGTAGATAGTACCAGTGAATAGCACAGCGACTATGTAGCCCCTCTGGGAATTATCAGATCTGAGAGTATTGTCAACTCTGGGTCAGTATAAACTATTAGATCATTGAGGATGTATAACCAGGTTTAGCAGATGGAGAGCGAGAGGGACTTCAGTCTCTAGGCAGAATCATCAGTGCAGACTTGTGTTGAGCTTCAATACCACCTGCTGTTTGTTGGGGCCACTGAGTCCTCCTCTTTGTGGTATGGTACTGCCGGTACATTCAGTATTTGATCCTTTTTCTCCCTTGGCGGTGCTATGGTTGGTCCTTTCCACCCTCTCACCCTCCGCATAGGCGGTGGTTTTGGAGTATACGTGGTTCTCAGTGCCCCCAGTACTGACCCTTGCTCCCTATGAGCTTCAGACATGCCCGTACTGGGGTGCGGACTCTCACCAGTCTGACTGGGCGGGATTTCTCCTGCTTCTTATGAGAGTGCTTCTTTACTCTCCTCTCATCTTTGCCTGCTAGAGTCCTTAAGCCTGAGATCTGATGCTCTAGGGCTAGGGAATGCCAAGTTTGGAGGGGCACTACTTGGTGGTTCCTGTATACAGGGTGGTTAGAAGGTCCAGGATCAGACTGAGGCCTCATGGAATGCTCCATCATGTCTTCAGAGTTGGTATTTGCATATTTGTTGTGTTTCAGGTGGAAAAGAACAAGTCTCACACCTGGAGGGACCATGATACTCCCCGGCAATATAAGCAGGAGTCAGGGGGATCACTAACTGGGAAGACCCTGGGACGGGCTGTGCAGGACTTGAAGCCCAGGGATGTTGGGCATACTAGGTTCCCCCGAACTGTGAGGGTAATGGGATCGGGGGAACCCCTAATTCCAAAATTGCCATCTAACTACAGACCCTCCCCGGGTTACGCAAGACCCGATTTACGCAAATTCGCACTTACGGAAAAAGTTCCATAAGCCAGAAATAGGATTTTCGAGTTGCGGAAATTTTTGTGTAATGTATGGGTATACGTTTCCGACTTACGCAAATTTCGAGTTACGCAAGGCTTTCCGGAATGGAACAATTGCGTAAGTCGGGGGGGCGTCTGTATATGTTAAAACTAACTACCCAGCTATAAAGTTATTTACCATAAAAAAAAAAAAAGTATTAGGAAGGCAGGAACACTAAGATAGCTTCAGACACCGAGGAATAACAGCTAAAGTATCAGTTTAGCAGCTAGGACCTTGTTTGATAAATTCCATGTTACTGTAGGCTGGTCATTAAAATTGTAATTTATTTTAAACCAGTTCATTATATATTAACTAAATTGTATAAATGGACTATTTTTTTTTGTTATTATAGGAAATGCATCATTTTGAGGAGGAATTAACTTGTTCCATTTGCTATAGTATATTTGAAGACCCACGTGTACTACCATGTTCTCACACATTTTGTAGAAATTGTCTGGAAAGCGTTCTTCAGCTATCAAGCAACTTTTCCATATGGAGACCACTAAGACTTCCACTGAAGTGTCCCAATTGTAGAAGCATTGTTGAAATTCCTCCATCTGGTACTGAGTCATTACCTATCAACTTTGCATTAAAGGCTATCATTGAAAAATATCAGCAAGAAGACCACCCAGATGTTGCAACATGTAGTGAACATTATAGGCAGCCATTAAATGTTTATTGTCTTTTGGATAGAAAATTAGTGTGTGGTCATTGTCTTACAATAGGTAAACATCATGGTCATCCCATAGATGACCTTCAGAGTGCCTACATGAAAGAAAAGGAGACTCCTAGGAAACTCCTTGAGCAATTAACTGATGAACATTGGACTAATGTATGTTTGCTCATTGAAAAGTTGGAAGAACAGAAATCTCATTATGAAAATATTGTTCAAGACGATAAGAAAGCTGTATTGCAATATTTTAAGAAACTTAATGACACACTGGAGCATAAAAAGCAAGCTTTGCTAGCTGCTTTGGATGAAGTTAATGCTCACATTTCTGAAGAATATGCACCACTCGTTGAAAACATGAAAAGAATCAGAGAAGAACAGCTTGATTTAATGTCATTGAACACATCTGTTCAAGAAGAGGAGTCTCCACTTATTTTCCTTGAGAAGGTTGATGATGTGCGCCAACGCGTAAAAGCTTTGAAACAAAAGCAACTACCAGATATCAAACCTGTTGAAGTTTATCCACGAATAGGACAGCTATTGAAGGATGTGTGGTCCAAAACTGAAATTGGTCAGATTAACAAGATCCTCACTCCAAAAATAAAGCTGATTTCAAAAGGGAATTTATGCCACAAAGGCAGTGAGAAGGAAAGAGGACAGTCTAAGGAATTGCTTCAGTCTATAAACCCTCTAACAGTGATGCTAATTTCTATGACGATAGTGATAATTATGATTTCATTTAGTAAATCTGTATTATCAGTTGTAAATGAAGTAACTTTGATCTATATTTCAGACATCTTGCAGTTTGTTTATCAAGATCTATGCAACAACTTGCAGGCAGTAATGGAAATGCTATGCCATACATCTAATTTCCTGATGGAATTCATGGGGAGAATTGTTTCTTTTTCTTTCTGAGTATCTGAAATACTGAGATTAGCAGTTAGGATAATTATAGGAATACATTATGTTTGAACTATTGTACAAGGCTCTTTTTTTTTAGTTTCTATCTAAATGCTATTGAAATAATAGATCCTTTACACAAAATTTAAACTGGTTCTCTAGATTAATTAGCACCAGAATCATTACACCGGATTCTCCCCCATCTGCAGAAATACATGAAGAATGAGACTGAAGTGTGTGGGGTAGGGTTCTCTCTTAATACCCCTATTTTTTCCATATCTTTTCCTGTCTTTTGCCCCCACTACCATGCCATTTCTGAATCTCTGCTTTTTACTGATTATCATTTAAGTCAATGACAGCTGGATGGTAATTCCTCCTAAAGTAGTATGTACCACTCTTCAGTTGCATGTAAGGGTTCACAGTCAAATACATTGCTCCTTCATCAGTTGCCCATACTGATTTGTAATGTAGGAGAGCCTAAAGATACGAAACATAAATCTCAAGCAAAAAATCAAGAACAAGTCAGAATTGATGCATATTATCTCTAAGAAAGCCATAAATTCACAGATTCTAACCTGGGAAAGGCAGTTTCCAACAGACTGGTAATTACTTCTCAAGCATCTACTACCCAGTCCCTTCTTTAAACTAATTTTTTAGGTAGGGTGGGGCTAAAAGTACCACAGAATTAATAATGGGGAGAGGAGACAAATCCTAGAGTTTCAGACATTAAAACTGAGATGGGTAAGTCAAAGTGTCGAGTCAGTCATTGGCTCCAGTGTACAAAAAGTGTATATTATATGTGTATATTGCATTTTAGCAGGTCCACTACACTATCTATAGTGAAACCATTTTTTGGTCATTAAATCATTTATGAAATGACTGTGGTTCATCCTGTTGGCTCCAGGCTGTTAGTTGGATCATATTGCTTCAAGTTTCCTGATGTACATCATGTATAAGTGATCTTGTATCTTTCAAGTAGGTGTGGGTGCTACTCTAAAACTTTTGGGATGATATTCCTTGGTAAAATGTAAAAGTACAGTCCCGAAAAGTGCTGAATGTGTGCTGCTTTACTAAATGAGCTAAATGTGCAAGCAAGAAATTCTAGTTAACATATGGGGTGAAATCCTGCACCAACTACAGTAAATGGCAAAACACCCACAGACTTCAGTGGGGCCAGGATTTCACCTTTATTTATTTATTTATTTGTTTTGTAAGAAAAAGCTGTAACAAATAATGTGAGAATGCAGTATAAATGTATTCTTAAATATTACTGCACATATATTTAATTTGGAATGTAGTCTACTTCACTCTGAAACAAAAATGTTGACTCCCCTCCTCTGTAATCAAATTAAGTGCAGTATGCTCCATTAGTTAAAATACAAGGGACTGATTATGTCCCCACTGATGTTAATTTTTAATAGGTTGTTTAATCTACACTTAACAGTGAAGATTTCCCAGTAGCATGAGTTTTTGGATTGATGCTATGGGAATAACTCAGCACACATGAACTCCAAATGCTAGGTTAATTTTGATGCCAGTTCTTAAAAAATTAAAATATTGTTTGTACTGTATCAACAAATGTATGTTTTTAGTTTTTTTTTAAAAGTTCATTTATACTGTAGTATAGCAACACTCCTGCTTAAACTAAGCGATTAGCATTCATGCAGCACTTGACATTTTAAAAGCCTTATTTAAAAAAACCCCACACATACTCGAGGCCTGATCCTGCAAAATGCCAAGAACCTTCAATTCCCATTGACTTCAGTGGGAGTTGAGGATGGTCAGCATCTCTCAGTATCAAACCCCAAGTTAAATCATTAGTAGTCTCATCTACAGGTCTGTCGCATCTTACGCGCATTTAACATGCGTGAATTCAGCTTTATGCGGTCAGCAAAAACAAAGAGAAAAATAACAAATTAAATACTGTTCCTGTAGTGCCATTACACTCAATGTAATTTTGACTATACGTGGTTTTGGCTTTACGCGCTGACCACGGAACGTAACCCCAGCGTAAGATGAGACAGACCTGTATCACAGTTTTAGAGCTCAAGTGTTGAGCATCTTCAACACCAACCAGGATTGGGCCCTTGTTCCTGTAAAATGGCACTTTAAGTGATCGTTCTTGTACCGTACAGACCAGGCTCTATATACCAACTAACAATTTGTGCACTCAATCTTAAAACTCAGGCCCAAAATGTAGAGTTTACAAAACAACCCAAACCAAACCTAATATTTATGTGTTTATGTGATTATTTTAAAAAAGAAATTCTAATAGTAAATCTTTGTTTAGAGCTAGAAATGCCTCTGTAATAGAGTTTGCAATCTGAACAAAGTAGCAGTATGTTAGGACAGGAAAACGGAAAGTAAACCAAATTTTTTTCATTGTTCAGCCAGAAAGTAATGGAAATAAGCAGCCAGCATAAAGAGGAAGCCAATCAATTATATGCAGAAGTGTGGTTCTAAAAAGTTACATTTGAGGTAAGGCTAGCAGTGGGTAGAGACTTCTGTTTTGGATGGGAAGTGGGTTTTTTTGGACCACTGCATATTTATTAAGCACAATTCTATATTAACGTATACAAATTCATCTAATCTCAATACAGTATATGGAGGATTTTCTTAATTCCCATTAATACTAAGGGCCAGATTTTTAAAGATATTTAGGCATCTAATGATACAGATGGGCACCTAGTGGAATTTTCAAAAGTACCTAGGCACCTAATTTCAATGACCCTAAGTGTCTGTTTGGATCTCTTCTCTCAGAATGTCTTATATATTAGTTTTCTGATGTTTTAAATATTTTACAAATATGTTTATAATGCAATTTTACTTTTCCAGATTACATGGATTATTTAGAAAATGTCATTGTAACATTTTACTTTAAAAAAATTCAGAATCTGTATTTATTCATGTACTGGATATTTTAATAAATCTATCTAAAAAATGTATTATGTTGGGGAAGTGGGTACCTCTTATCCTCTCACCCCATATAACCACCTTTAATTCAAGACCAAGCTGGAATGGTGGGTTGAACTGATCTCATGAGAGATGGAAGAAGTTACCTTGTACAATAATGATGTTTTTCAAGATGTATCCCCCTATGGGTGCATCACTGTAGGTGTGTCTGTGTCCCTGTGCTACTGATTGGAGAACTTCGGTAGCAGTGTCCATGCGACCCTCCTCAATTCCTTCTCAATTGCTCCTGGCTAGAGACGGAGCTATAGCTGTCTGTTCGTCGATTAATTCTTTTAGAATTGCTAGTTTTTAGCTTCCCTCAAAGCTTTTTCTTTGTTACTCTGTTTGTATTTTATTTGGCCCTGCCTGAACTGAGAAAAAGGAAAAGGGCTTGTCTCCTGCCAAGCCTGGTGGGTGGTGAACCTCCCTGGACTAGGGTATGTATGACTCCCAAGAAATCTGTCCCAGTGACTGGCGGACACTTGCGGTGTGTTCAGTGCCTGGGAGAGAAGCATATTCCAAAAAAGTGTAGCTTGTATCAGCAACTGAAGCCCAGATCCAGCAAAGGCAGAGAGCTAAGATTCAAACTCCTACTCATGGAGCCAGCCCTTCAACCCCTGTGTCCCGGCAGGAGCTCTCACCACAACACTCTACTTTGAAGGGAGGTGAGCCCAGAGAGATGATCCACTCTTATAAGGCCTCTAATAGAACACTTTAATTTAACATTTGTTTTTAATCAAAAATCCTCATTTGGGCCTTATGATATTCTCAAGAGTCTACAAGAAACCATGCGTCTAGTAATCCTTCAAAGGGAAGATATTTTATTAACATTGAGTTCCTTGCAAGTTCCTGGCATCCTGTCCTGGAAAAGTTCTACAAAAATCTACAGGCTTTTTTCCTCCCCTCTCTCTGTAGTGTATGTGTGATACTTCTTCAACTGGTCACAGCGGGGAAGTAGCATAATATTCACCCTGGCTTGGGGACAACATAAGTGCGATGAGGTACTGGTAGAAATTTTGTCAACTGGGGGAGTAGCTTGTGAGATACCCTTGGGATGGGGTGGGCAAACTACAGCTCAGGGGCCGCATCTGGCCCTCTAGACATTTTAATCTGGCCCCTGAGCTCCCGACAGGCAGTGGGGTCCAGGGCTTGCCCTGCTCCAGCCGGGGAGAGGGGTCGGGGGCTTGCCCCACTGCATGCGGCTCCTGGAAGCAGCAGCATGTCCCCCCTCTGACTCCTACATATAGGGGCAGCCAGGGGGATCCGCATGCTGTCCCCACCCCAAGTGCTGCCCACCCCCAGCTCCCATTTGCCAGGAACTGCGGCCAATGGGAGTTGCAGGGACGGCACCTGCGGACAGGGCAGCACGCAGAGTTGCCTGGCCACGCCTCTGTGTAGGAGCCGGAGGGGGAACACGCCGCTGCTGTTGAGAGCTGCTTGCGGTAAGTGCCGCCTGGTGCCTGTACCCCTGACCCCCCTCCCATGCCCCATCCCCCTTCTCCAGCCCTGATCCCCCCTCCCGCCCTCCGAACCTCTCTGTCCCAGCCTGGAGCAACCTTCTGCACCCCCAACCCTTCATCTCAAGCCCCACCCCAGAGCCTGCACCTCCAGCCAGAGCCCTCCCCCCAACACCCCAGCCCAGAGCCCCCTCCCGCACCCTGAACGCCTCATTGCTGGCCCCACCCCAGAGCCCGCACACCCCAACCCCCAATTTCGTGAGCATTCATGGTTAGCCATACAATTTCCATACCCAGATGTGGCCCTTGGGCCAAAAAGTTTGCCCACCCCTGCCCTGGGAGCTTGAAAGGTTGCTTGCCTTCTGTCCCAAGTGGGTGAGCAGCTATGTAGGTATTGTAGGAGCAACCTAGTATTAATAGATTGGGAGGGGTTTCTCACTTACCCCTCTGTAATACCCACGATGGTGCACCTTTGCAGGGAGTGTATGAGTCTGATCTGGTTGCAGACTTCCTGAAGTGCTCCTTATGTAGTGGGAGAGGGGAAAAAAGAGACCTTTATTTTCCTAGAAGAGGAAGGTTTTATGACTCATAATCAGAAGGTACAAATCCCATTCTGCTGCTGCCTACACCTGAGCCCTTTTCATTGGCAGAGTGAAGGTCCTTCGGCTAAAAGCCAAACAGGCATAAATAATTCCCAGTAACCTGCAGCCTGAGGCAGGGCTTCACTAGCGTAACAGGCTTTTCTGCATGCCCATACATGTTGCCACGTGGTGGTAAGCTTGATACAGAGTACATAAAGCCGGTGTGTAGAAGCCCCACCACACCCACCCTTGAGGGTTGGGGAATTAAAAGTGAGGGGGTTTAACCCCCTACTGTTTACTCCACTTGTTCACTAACAATATTAAATGTTGTAACATGAGAATCTCCCAGTTCAGTAGTGAGAGGAAGGGGAACTTGTAGGAGATCTACATCTTTCCCCAGGGAGCTGAGGACCCACTTTGGTATTGTGGAAGGGGGAAGAGGGAGCAGCGCAAGAAACAACTTTGGATCCATTCAAAGTTTTTTCCCTTTGGCCCAGCTATGTTGTGGGACTTACTTTAGCTGGCCAGATAACATGCTCCTTGTCCTTAGACTTTCTCCCTAAAATGTTCAGAAGCTTCTGAATGGGCTTTTCCGCATTGGCGTTGCAGCTCTTCAGGGCTGATAAGGTGAATGCCACCCACCATGCAGGTCAGACGCTGAGCTCTGAGAGTGCAAGGGTTGGCTGGTTGTGAACAGGTAGGGTATAACTAGCCTCTGTAGAGTCTGTAAATGCTGCCTCACATAAGAATCATGGATTAGATTTAGGTCAGTATTTGCAGGGCAGCTCTGACATGCTGGGGGGGGGAGGGATAGCTCAGTGGTTTGAGCATTGGCCTGCTAAACCCAGGGTTGTGAGTTCAATCCTTGAGGGGACCACCTAGGGATCTGGGGCAAAATCAGTACTTGGTCCTGCTAGTGAAGGCAGGGGGCTGGACTTGATGACCTTTCAAGGTCCCTTCCAGTTCTAGGAGAGAGGATATCTCCATTAATTTAATTTAATAGTGGGGGGTGGCAGAGGAATCCCATAGGTGAGACACTACAATGGCACATCCAGGTGGTTTAAAACCACCATGCTGCCAGATACCTGATCCAGAAGGGAAAAGTGAAAGGACAGTTACCTGTTCTGTAACTGGCGTTCTTCGAGATGTGTTGCTCAGGTGTATTCCACAGTAGGTGTGCGTGCTCGCCATGTGCACCGGTGCCGGAAGTTTTTCCCTTAGCAGTACCCCCATAGTGGGGGAGCACCGCTGCAACCCCTGGAGTGGCGCCTGTATATCGTGCCATAAAGGGGGCTGCGTGCTCCCCCCACCCTCAGTTCCTTCTTGCCAGACAAGTCTGATAGAGAGGAAGGAGGGCAGGATGTGGAATACACCTGAGCAACACATCTCGAAGAACGCCAGTTACGGAACAGGTAACTGTCCTTTCTTCTTCGAGTGATTGCTCATGTGTATTCCACAGTAGGTGACTCCAAGCTATACTTGATGGAGGTGGGAAGGAGTTTAAGGGTTACCCGGGCAGAGCACTGCCCTACCAAACCCGGCGTCATCCCTCGTTTGGGAGATGATCGCATAGTGCGATGAAAAGGTGTGGACAGAGGACCAAGTAGCAGCCCTGCAGATGTCCTGAATAGGGCCATGAGCCACATAGGCCACTGACGAGGCCTGCACTCTCGTCGAATGAGCCTTCACTATAGGAGGTCGGGGAACCCCTGCCAGGTCGTAACATATGCGTATGCACTAAGTAATCCAGTGGGAAATCCGCTGGGTGGAAACCGGTCGTCCTCTCATGCGCTCGGCCGATGCAATAAACAGCTGGGGGGACTTCCTAAAGGGTCTGGTTCTGTCGAGGTAAAAAGCCAGTGCTCTCCGCACATGTGCAGATGCCATTCCTCACTGGAAGAATGGGGTTTAGGACAG